CAATATGCTGACTCTCTGTAAACCGCTTAGAGAGGCCTGAAAGGCCTATGAAGCGGTATATAAGTCTACTGCTATTGCTATTGCTATTGCTATTATCTCTTTGTGTTTGCTTGAACTTTTAATTATTATGACGTATGTATTCAGGTTCCTTAATCTCTTTAATCATTTTGAGTCCTAATAAAGAAGTATTTGTGCAAGGTTTTTGGCCTATGATAGCTCCAAACCTATGAAGTTCTGTTTAAAATGAAACTTGTTCCCTAATAGAGAGAATTATAATTGGCTGTCTAAAGATTGCCTAGTTCAGCAAGAGTTGTTGAAAAAAAGTAAAAGAATCTGCAGTATGTAATCTAAATTTCATGTCCTGATCCTTTCCAAAGAAATCTTGTTTGGAAAGTGGCCAGAATCAATGAATAGATGGAAGATGAAAGTATCTACATCACTCATGATTGTTATGACCGGGCAATATTTCAAATTGAAAGAGGCATAGGTCGGTGGAATAAACTGTGCAGAGGCATTCAGACATCATCTCCTTAAATGAACTTGGTCCTTCCCAGGACCATACAGCTGCCCTTGGCAATTGCAAAGATTTCGAAGAAAAGACATTTTGGTTGAAGATGTTGCTAACAGTACTTCATAGACACATACAGTAGAAGCCTTAGAGAATAAAGGAAGTTTAGCAAGGAGCAAAGAAATCATGACCTTATTATGGGGACACTTTGCTGTTCTTCTAGATGCACTTTTAAGAAGGAATGAAGAGAATTTAGACTATGTCATCTACCTCTCTTACTGATAAGGTGACTCTGGGCAGATAACAGTGATAATTATAGAAGCAATTAGAATTACATTATATAAAAACTAGAGCCAAGGAGACAAATGGCATAGGATGAGATCTTCTTCTTACCCTGTCAATCACTTCCAGTGACGAATGCCTCTCTCGGAGCTACAAGCCAACCAGCAAAATCAGGTTTTGAATTTGGCAGCAGTTCTGGTTTCTGGTGGTAGAATGATCCATAGGTCTGGGGTCACAGTGGAAAATGCTCTTCTTGACCCCACCAGCTGGAATTCCTTGGCTGACAAAGTCTGCAGCTGAAGTAGTCTTATGGCTTAATACCACCCACCCTTAGCCTGAATCCAAAATTTAGAAGCGCTGTATTCCTGATTTCTTTAGGTGTATTAGAAAGAAACTTACAGCTTTTAACATTTTAAAGCATTAACTAAAAAGGCTCCTCTTCCTTATTTGCCTCCATAATTTTTGCTAAAAAATTTTTTCCACTATTTGCCAGTGAGAAGATAATGTATATTTTAATGGAGAAAATAATGTACTTCATTGCTACATGCAAGGACTCTCTCGCCCTCCCTCCCTCCCTCCCTCCCTCCTATTTCTAGTTTATATTAAAACACTTGTATGAAGGAAAACATATTTTGGAAGGTTTAGATGTATTTGAAAGGAATCAGCCTTTCCCTGTTAAACACTCACCTGTAACTTGTAGTAAGCTGTTCTCACCTTGTTTATAAAACAGTACTCATTTTCCCATAAGACATTATTTGTGATCCTTAGTTGTGATCTGAACTATACTATATGTATATTTCCTATGATTGGTGTTGGTATTGTTAACCTGCTGTGACCTATATTGTATGTATGCAGTCTCTTATTGAAGGAGTGGCAGATTATTTTTCAATTGTCATAGCAGTGAGAAATTTGAAATGAGTTCATTTGCTTTTGGTTGCACATGACTTAAAGAGCTGTTATTGCAGTGGTAATTTCCTGGTATACTTATTTCCACAATTCCTGTACAAAGCTTATCAGCATGGTTCTAATCATAGCTGCTGAATTAATTCTAATCACTTAGCTGCTGATTTTTTTAAAAAAAAATACAAATCAGTATTTTTAGCTTTGTATTGTTCTTTCACGTACTTTCCAGAGCTTGAGTTATCTAAAGTCAACCATAATAAATTAATCTGAAGTTAATGAAAATTTAGCATGATAAACATGAATTTAATATATTGGGTAATCAATTAGTATGGTTTTATACAAAATATGTATTTAGTTAAAATGAATAAAATATTTAGCATTTTTCCTTTCCTTTTTTATTTTCTGGTAGGCAGAAACATTTTGGATCGATTTTTTAAAAACTAAATTTTACATTAGATTTTTATTTGGTTAGCCACTTATCTGGAGTGTTTTGTGTAAATGAAAAATCCAGGTTATCAGTAACTGCTGAAAATAACAGGATAATCGCTTAAGCAGTGATTCTCTGATGTCATTGTGGGAGGTTAGTAAAAGAGGATTATCCATGACCCAGATAAAATAATTAGAAATTACTTCGACACTTACAAATGAATGATTTACTGTACTAATCTCATTTCCAAAGTTAGAAAAGATCTGTCTCTCAATATAATACTGCCAGATGTTTTTAGCTAAAATGCATCCTTTGAAGAGATTAATCTGAAGCCTAATTTTAAGGATTATCTTTGATTATTTTTATTTAAAATCTTAAACAGGATCTGTTTATATTTTCCATATGTTATTGCAAATGATTAACAGAGTTAACAGGTTTTTTTTTTTAAAAAAAAAGAATGATAGTCTGGAACTCATTGTATTTCAGATGTAGATTGTGATAACAGTTTTGGTATTATTTTGGGGTTCCTTCAAGTAAGTCTTTTGGAATTCTTGAATGGGTCAACCAAAGCAAATTGATTTTTTTACACATTTTTAAATTAAAATAATAGTGAATTGTATGAGTGTTCTATCCAATGTTATACTTTCAATGAAAAAGAGTAGATCTGCGTATGGGACATTTGCAGGCTTTGTTGTAATGAGTGAATCCAATATCTTATTATCCTTGGAAAAAAGAAAAGAATATTGTATTGCTTGATACCAGCCATTTTACAGCTGAATTTTGGCAAGGCAAATTTGAAGTATGGGCTGGGGACGGGTTGTATTTGCAGCCCACAGGTGGCTGATCTCTGAATGGTTACAATTATGTGTCATTTGTACTGTGATTACACTCTGGCTATAATTTTTCAGATATCCTAAAAATAAATACAATTTGTGCTCTATGAGGCTATCAGCGAAGCTCATTTATGCTCTATTAATCTTCTAAGAATAAGGGAGTACCTGGTAGAGGAGGCTTCTGGGAGGCCAACTATTTTAGCCTTCATGTCTAAATAGGCTTCCAGGAAACTATTTTGTTACTAAATAGTAGCAGCATGTTTCCCTACTGTTTAGGGAGAAAAGGATTGAACAGGCTTAAGATTTCTGTGACTTGCGAGGAGCCCCCAGAAGTCTTTCATTTCCATTTCCTTGCTTAAACTCAACCCCTATAAGCCCAAATTGGGCTGAATAAGTGAGCTTTCCAGCTGATAAGGAACAAATGGTAGTCTAGGCCAATAACATTCCCCAATCTGTAGCAGCAGCTATATGGAATATTGGAAAAACTTAGTCTATCCTTGCATCTGAATTGGTTGGTTGATTATTTTTTACCTGCTGCAGTTGAGCGATTCATCAGGTGACAGTCAAGACATTCAACAGCCATGGTTCAGTGCGTTAAGTAAGCAATCAAAAAAAGCCGTAAGTATAGAAATGAGGAAAGACAAAGGGGAGTCATTTAAGAATGAAAGATCTCTTAATTCTATTTCATCTAATTTTCTGAAGCCTAATAAAGTAGGAACTGATTGAATTTCAAAGGGCAAAGAATTCCCTAATATTGGTCCTGCAACAGAAAAGCATTGTTGGGACTTCATCCACCTTTCCTACAGCTTCTCCTGCACATGAGATAGATTAAAATTGGTCAGGGAAGTTGATTCTAGATTGATTTTTCTGCCTGTCTGTGTTATAAATTGGAAACTGTTGGTAAAATTTTCAAATGTCTTATTATTACTCTTTGTCCAGCAGATACTACAGATTCTTATCACTCTTGTTATTTCATATAAGCTATTTTTATGAGTTATTTAAGATGCTACTGAACTATGGTGCCTCCAGCTGTGATCTCCTCAGATGTACTGAGCTAAGTAGGGTCATTCCCGGTCAGTAGCTAGATGTACAGCTATGGGAGAAAGTTTAAACACTACAGGAAATGTTGGCAATTCCGAAAGCGAAACATTTCTTCTGAAGTGTTATTGAATTAATCAATGCCCCGATAAGGCCTGCTGTTGCTTGAGGTCAGGTCAGAGTGGCAAATATATGTGTTTTTCTCTTTTTACAAGAATATTTTTACATCTAGATCTAGTCTGAAGGCAATTTTTAAATAATGTTTTCTTACTATGCAAATGAATTTTTGTACAGTATTGAAGAATTGCAGTCTTTCCTAAAGTTCTTATTTTTTTAATTGATTCACTTGATGCCATGTTCTTCCCATAGGTTATCTCATACATGTCAAAAAAGCTATTCTTTTCTTAAGTATCTAGACATCATTTTTTTGAGAATTTTTTCTTAGCATTCATGCTTAGCATTCTGTTACATATTCATTCTAGAATTCTCACAATCCAGTATAACTTTTGTATTTTGGTTTTCGTGAGATGTTCTCTGGGTGAATTTGGATGTTAAACATTGATATTGAAAACTCTGACTTCAAGGTAGATGTCTAAGATATTTATGTTTCTTATACAAAAATTTGGATATGTCCATGTTTGAAATAAACCCAATAAAAGATTCCTTGTGATGATGTTTCTTGTGATTATGTGGACACTACCAAGCAGTTTAGGGAAGTGCTTTGCCATTGTTTTAATCTGAGGTGTGCATGTCTTTTAATTTGGTAGTCTGGATTATAATCATAGTGGTTCCCATTCAAATACAAAGTAATCCTATCCTGCTTAGTTTCCAGGTTAAGTCAACCAGATGGCCATGGTTAAAAGTTTTTTTTAATCCAGATAATGAAAATTCTTGAAATAGGAAACAGAGAATACAACCTTGGTATTAATACTGTATTAATATGGTTATAACATTCTGTATAAGTGAATATTTATAGTGAAATAGTGTCAAACAATATCTGCCCTGTCTGCTTTAAATTTTATTTCTTTAAAAACCCGCACATAAACATGTAAATAAAGTAAGTATTGTAAAATGTAAATTTATTCATATTCAGCACTTTTGGGGATTTTTTTTTTACTTTGACATTTTTTTGCATTGTTTTTAATTTATTTTCCCTTTTGCCTTAGGTTATTTGAATTTAAATTATTATTTGAAAGAAATATAATACTGTAACTTTTGTGATTTTGTAAGCAGAACCTCTAGCAAATCCCAGTTCAAAATGAATGTCAGCTTTCCCTTCTGCTTGGAAGGATACTTTGAATTAACCTTGACCTGGGAGAGGTCATCTGCCAGCCCAGTCATTACCTAAGATCCGAAGACAAGTGTCTTGTTTCATTGATGTGGCTGTATTGCTCAAGCTGAGGATGCTGAAATGCATTCTTTCATATTGGAGAGATTTTTAATTTAATTTAATTGTACAGATCAAATAGTTCAATGAAGACAGGATGAGACTAAAAGAGTTTGCTCTTATTTCAGTTTGACCAAGGTCTGAATTGCAACCCCACAAAAAGCCTACATGCTATACTATGCAATTTTTTTTTAATAAGCAATTGCTTCTTAATTCAAAGTTTAAATTAAGGATATGTTTTAATTTCAGAAAATAGCTGAATTATTTCAGTCAACAGCTCACTATTCTCAATATAATATTTGGTAAAATAATAAGTGACACACTAGTTTGATCATGTATAACAAATGAAAGAAATTATTTTGGCCACAGCTCTAAAAATCCATTATATTCAGACAACTGAAACACCGCATTTCATCATGTGACCAAGTAAAAAACTCACACTGAAACAGAAAACCTCTGTATTTCTCTTGGGTGGTAAGATTGCAGAACAACTCTAGAAAGTTTGTTGTCTATATATTTTGCCTGTATCTGTATGTGCTTATATACACATTGAGAAATAGAATATCTCATTGCCAAATATTTTGTTTTTTGTTTTTGTAAGCATTCTACGTATGTGCTAGTATATATTTTTGAAAAACAACATTCTTTGCATTTTCATAATAGGAAGAAATATTTAAGATTTTTTTTTCTTAAAATAGGACATTACAAGTATAGAAAAACTGGCCAATTGTTGTGAAGAAATGTGAGTATCATTTTGTTTTGTTAAAGTCTTTATAGAGCTTGGCAATAAAATGCATGTGTGAGATACACGTAGGGCATTAATGAAAGCTTAGCTTACCTTTTTCACTATGATTCACATGGTGCTTTAATTAAAAAAAAGTTCTATCTGACGCAATCAAAACAATGCTTTCAAAACATGGTCCAGAAAGGGGATTTGTTTTGCTTTGCTCTCTTTTGTTGGCAAACAGTTAGTTGATTATCAGGAACATCTTAGTTCTATAAGTGCAAATGCAGTTTGTGTTTCTTAAAGTCTCAGCTGTCGCTGAAGTGAAAGGAAAGCTTTGCTTAATGGCGGCTCAGATGTAATTCATCAGAGTCAAGTAATGGATCCCCAGCCAACCTGTATTGTTCTAGTTGACTGAAGTGCACCATGGGAGTGCTGTCTTTCACTAATAATGCTGTCGTCTGTAGATCAAGACCTCGAAAGCCATGGCAGCAGACCTTCTCAGAAGTTTTTGGCACTCGCTGGAAGATCCTGTGGTTTATTCCTTTCAGGCAAAGGCGACCACTGCGCGTTCCCTACCACTTTGCCAATCACGTCTAAACAGATGGATGGTAGGCACAGATGGGTTCTCCATGCTGGATGTGTGTTGCAGGTTTTGTGATAATAGAACTATGGCACTTCTAAAGTCAATTAAAATCTACCCACCAATCTTAGACGTCACAACGTGCCCCAGGCTTTATTTTAATAATGAAGATCTTTATTTTGCTTAGGGATTAAGACACACTTCTCTATTTACGTTCAAAGTGTACTTACATTCAGATTAGCATTGCAGAGAAATCACTGCAGGTTCATAATAAAAAAAAAAGATTGATGTACAAATATTACTTTTCTTTTGATACTGGATAATACAATTGATTTTGCTAGAAATGCTGTCATTTACACAGACCAACAGGTTTGGAAGTGTCTTGACTGGTTTGAATTGCTTATTTTTTTTTATCAGTCATACTAGCTGGATTATGTAGAAATGTCTGTTTTCCTATTCATCAGTTTTAATGCCTCCAATGCCTTTTTATTTATGATGCATGATATTAAAATGCAGCTTATCTCTAGAGAAGACTGGCATTTTAACCGTGGATTTTTAAAAGGAACAATGATGTTTGTTCCTCATGTTTTAAAAAAAAGTTATGTAAAAACACAACATAAAATCCATTACTATTTTGAAAGAAAAATAGGTTATAAAATGTGCATTTTTCTCTTCTTTGTACATGCAATAATTAGCCTTAAGTGCTAGATGTGTCTTAGAAGTATATACTGAATTAAAAAAAAATACAAAGCTTATGCCATGATCCAACCAAAGTTAAGCACCTTTTAAATCCTACTTATATTAGTGATACATATAGTATTTTTTCATTCACTCCCAAAAAAACAGGCAAACTGCTGCACTGCAAATGGAATACTGGCGGATACGTTTTTCTGGGTTTAAGCTGCAATCCTACACACTTACCTATAAGTCATTTATTTTGTATTGATATGCATAGGATTCTACTAAGTGCCTAATTTTGGTGTGATTGTGCCTATAAAATTTATCAACATTTACTATATCATATCGACTGAAAACATATACAGTACTGTGTTGTTGTTTCTATGTACTATGTTTCTTGTTTTGTACTGTCACCACTAGAAGTATTTAAAATGTAAATTTCATGCGTTCATAGATCGGGTAATATATGTTGGAGATATTTTAACAATAGTATTTATAGAGTAAATATAGATGTTACATTTAGCATTATCTACTCTGTATTACATTCTAAATAGATGATAGGAAGCGAAGCAGGCATGCCTGTAAAGTGAGATTCCGATTGGTAAAAATAGGTAATTTGAGTTGTAGATAAATCAGTCTTTTGGTTTGCATCCCAGCTATTTTTTAATAGTAAAATTTTAGGAAGCTCATTCTTTTAAAAGAGATGTTTGCTGATCCGAGGCTTATATAGAAATAAAATCAGTGATCAGTTTTGAAAACTGTTTAAGAAACATCCATTTATGTAATTAAGAAGTATGGGGATATGGAAGTGGCCTTGAGTTTCTGGATAAAGGACAGGATATTCGTCTAATAAATAAATAGGCCTAAATGGGAGGACATGTTGACTCAAGATCAGGCTTACAACAGGCATGACATACCTAAGTGCATTGTTGAGAATGCATTTTTTCATTCACTTGGCCTTATCCTATCCTTTCTCACTTATGTTTGCCAAATAAGTCAAGAAGTGAAAGGTGTCTTTAGTTCTTGCATCTCTACTGTACTTTTGAGCCTTTGTGCTTATAAGAGCTGCAAGCCTGCCATATCTAACTTTGAGGCCCATAGTTACAGATAGTCCTCAACTTACAACCACAACACAGCCCAAAATTTATGTTGCTAAGCGACAAATTTGTTAAATGAGTTTTGCTCCATTTTATGACTTTTCTTGTCACTTTTGCTAAGTGAACCACTGCAGCGTTAAGTTAGTAACACGGTTGTTAAGTGAATCTGGCTTCCCCATTGACTTTGCTTGTCAGAAGGTTGCAAAACCCCATGACCCCAGGACACTGCAACCGTCATAAATATGAATCAGTTGTCAAGCATCCAAATGTAAATCAAATGAGCATGGGGACGCTGCAATGGTCATAAGTGTGAAAAATAATCATGTCACTTTTTTCAGTGCCATTGTAACATTGAACTGTCGCTAAATGAACTGTTGTAAGTTGAGGACTACCTGTATTTGGGGGCAGATATATACTAGCTAGTGAGGCAGCCCCAGGAACAGATGTGGCTTCTTTTGAGTTGCTAAAAAGTGCATGCAGGTATGCTTCAAACCACCTTTTCTCTACAGATCTAGACTGGTGTACAGTTGTGTTCTAGAGCAGGGGTCTCCAACTTTAGCAACTTTAAGACTTGTAGATTTTGCTGACTGAGGAATTCTGGGAGTTGAAACCCACAAGTCTTAAAGTTGCCTAGGTTGGAAACACCTGCTCTAGATCATCAATAACATTTTATGAGTAATGGTACACAGAATAAATACTGATGACAGATGTTAGTTCAGTTGATATACAAAAACAACAAATTATGCTAAAGCATTTCTGACAGATGTTCACACTGATTATACATGCATCTGTTAATATAACATTCTGTTCACTTGTTTTGAACAGCTTCCATATCCTCTTTCCTTATGTCTATTTTCCATTCATTCTGATTGGAGATTATCTTGTCTTCTAACACTTTTTTGTAAAAGATAGCTATGCCATCTGAAGTTGGCTTTCTTTCCTTTTCCTTTTCCTTTTCCTTTTCTGTCAATGGTCATTTTTCCCCCTGAAGATCCATTCTTGACAGTCCCAAAAATGGTTTGTTCCACACTCTTACCATGCCATTATCCTTCGAGCTTTCATCATAAACAATCAAGTCAACCAGGCTATTAAATTTATGTGCTTGTCATATGTACAAATAAACTGAATTATGCTTATGAATTTTTAAAAAAATGCATCTTTCTAAGCAGATACCAGATATTCACCATTCTTGTTCATTTAGGGGTGTCTAAATAGTCTAGTCCTTTTCTGTATTTTCTTTCACTTCATTCAAATGGCCTAGAAGACCAATGTTTTCACCTGGATTGCATTTATTCATTACACATTTTCCATAAATCTCTTTCCTGCTCTTTCCACCATTTATATACATTGAAATGTAAACAGGCAACTATCACCAACTTATAGGTTCATACTTTTGTATGCACCCATAACTACTCAAATAATAACAGTTCAATATTTTCTGACATATATTTTTTGACCCATTGATTATTGAAACGACATCTTTATTTTAATTTTTTAACATATATTTTAACTCAACAAGCATAAACCACCTACTTTCCCATCTATTACGTCTTCTTCAATGCTTCACAGACATACACCATATTTATTTTTCTTATATTTCACCTGTTAATCCTTGCATTTGGGCCTTTATTTCTTTAATGCTCCACATTGTGCTGCTCATCTTCTATTTGTCAAGATTGTTCCCTGATGGGCCTAATAGGTAATAAACCTCTGTGGTCCAACTTAGCTTTGCTTAACTATTCTTTCCCCTATCACCTTTTAGTAAGAGAAGGTCTAAAGTCTAAACTATCTCACTAGCTGTAGAGTACCTATGCCACATGCAGCATTCCTTGCTAATGGAGAGAACAGTACCGGTCATGACCAGCAAGACCTAAGTGCAACCAAAGTATTGTAAATGTATTCTCACCAAGTTTCAGTCTCTAATATAGAGACTTCCTTGGAACCAAATATCCTGTTGCTTCACCCTGTCAGATAGGAGTCATATATTATGTAGTGACACATACAGAGGATGTTATGAACTCTAATAGCTGTGAAATATGTTTATTACCAAATAATTCACAGATGGAATATGCATTTCACCATTAATCTGACATCCATGTCCTCTTATAAATACTGTATGTGTTGGCAATTTTTATTACATTACTGGTATAATTATTTTGATGACACTATTACAGGTAGTTTGGTCTAGACAATCAGTTTTGTCAGGAGACTGTGAGTTCTAGCCCTGCCTTAGGCACAAAAGCTGCCTGGGTGACCTTTGGCCAGATTTTCATCTCATCTCATCTCATCTCATCCCATAGGTTGTTACGGGGAGAATACAGTAGGATGAGGAAGGAATATTAGGTATTTTCCTTGAATTATTTATAAAAATAATTGGGATATAAATAAATATCACTTTATGTTTTGCATAAACTTTGGAGTAGCCCTTGATAATTCCACCTTGAGAACTTTGGCACATCATAGGATATTGATTGAACTTAAATAATTTGCAGATAGAACCTTTCAGATTCATTCCAAAATGAGTTATCTGTGTTGTCTGCCAAATGTCCTAAAAGTCACTCAGACATCTGGATCAATTTACAGGGTTTAATGATTCTTGAATGCATTCTTTTACGAACTGTTTCTGCAATGCTAATAGATTTTGAATCAGCTAGTCTGTGAAGAATGTTAATTTATAGTATTTAGCTCAAAAACAAAATTGAAAATAGAGAAAGCACTGAAAGCTAAACATATATTAAACAGCCTGTAGTAGTCTCTCATGCATTCCATACTGAATTGTTGTTTAAATGTGGCAAAAACATGTTATGAATATGTCTTTTCCAAAAAATTAATGCTATCTAGAATATACTTACATAAAGTATACTTGTTTATACAGTACTTGAGATATCTACCCTTATTTTGTTCTTGAAGTGCCCTCTCTTGGTTGATTTGTGCAATTTCATTACTATTAAGAAAAGTAAATAGTTGTATGCCTTATTTTTTCTTACACACACAATGAATTTGTAGGAGAAAAATGTCATTAGATCATGTTGTGTGAGTGATGGAGCAAGATTATACACGAAAATTTTTCCATGAAGGAAAAGAAAAGATAATACTGTAATTTCTTGATCTGCCAGTTAATAATGTAAGCTGCTTGACTGGTCAGTGATCATATTAAAATGGATCATAAAAGATAATTATGTTTTTGTCAAAAAACCACAACATAAACGAAGGTGTGTCAGGGAAATAGATTTTTGTGCCTGTTAAGATAAAAGTTCAGTAAAATGTTTTCATTCTAAACATTCTCCATATTCTTTGAAATATTGACATATAATGTCATATAATGCATATAATAATGTTGGTTTAAAGAGAGTATTGAGAATATCTGTTTTGAGATATTGCCTTTTTTAATATTGATAGTCCTGTGGATTTTCATAAACATTAAAACCCAGATTTAGGAAAATGTTTTCCCTGTGTATATAAAAGATAATATTTGGATAATAAATTAAGAGATTAGTTGGGACTAAATATGTTTTAATATGAGTAGGACAGCTGCTTAATTTTCTTTTTTATTCTGCATCTGTTATATTTATTCATAATCTCTTGATTTTGGTGCATGAATCAAGTGTTCAGAGTAGATATTGTTCACAAAATGTTAAGTATTATATGGTGCAAATTATACAATGTTTGGAAATGTATTTTGCACCTAAATTATTTACAGATATTTTAGACTGCATTATTTGCTTAGTTATGTATTTTAGCATCTTTATTTAGAATCCCATCAAAATAGTTTAGAATAATTAGCAATAGTTTTGTTTCCTAGGAACCTATTTTGTAACTGCAATTCATCTCTTCATAAGAAGTTCTTAACCAGTGTTCTTATAGGATAAACCATATAGCTATCAATATCTGCTGCATAAACAGTATGTTAGATTATGCATTGTCCAAAACTGTTGTTTAAAATTGCAATCTTAATTCAGTGTTGCCCTTTAGAAAGATGAATTATAATTTTGCCTTGTATGTGCTAATTAGAGTGCATTACCAAGAGGTCAGTGAATAATCCACAACTAAAAGAATGCCTGGGGGCTTTTTAATAACAATTGAATTATTATAAAGGCAAATTGGTAGGCTGATGACAAAGTTCCCAGTGATCAAAGTGATAGGTTGGGTTTTATTGACTGATGGAGGTTTTAAGGACTAACATACCATTGTCCTCCATCTTTCCCAGGTACATGGCTTACAATGGGGTCCAAGCATTCTAATCCTTAACAGGGTCCATAGCCCATCTTAGCTGAACCTTCTGTGCATTTTGGCAGCCATCTGTGTAGTACAAGTGACTTGGCTCAATTAGCCTACCGCTGCTTCTGCCTGAATTCCATTGTCCTTTGGATGCATGTGTAGCCTCCGTACTGTGCCATCTGCAAAGCTTCTTGGGATAAATAGTTCCATTGCAATCCATCCTTTGATATTTCCCCCCCTGAAATTTCAATGACAAAAAGTATCTCTTGAGCTACAATATTATTAAAGTAAAATATAGAAAAAATGGTTTTGACTGAAATGTGCAAGAAGCTTGGACTTAAAATTCATGCTGATGCAGTTGTCATTTTTCTTAAATCATAGGCCCTTTTTGTAAATAAAAGAATCCTATTCTAACCTTGAAGGTTTAATGCTTTGTGCCAAATGTGATTCTTATAAACAAAAATCACTTGTTTATGGACATATTTCTATATTTATTCCTGCCATTTAATAGACACCTTCCTACTAAAATTAAGAATTTTGCAAATTGACTTTGACCAAAAAATTAACCATTTATTTTTTTTATCAACTGGACCTTTGTATTAGGATAACTTTTAACAACAGGATAGTTTGGACAAAACTCAGCAACACTTTTTCGTGCTGCTGTTGATAAAAATAGGATGGCCAACATGACCGCCAACATCCGATGACGGATATGGCACAACAAGAAGAAAAATCACCTGTGTTTCCAGTGAAATGCTTGTGTGTCTGGTTTATTACAGTAATATATTTAAAACTTCTAGGTGACTTGATGCTGTGGCTATCAAAAATCAGCTTAGCTGTGCTCTATTTTTCAGGACAT